CTGCACGGCGGCAAGGCCCCAAGCCGATCTTAAAAGCACCAACACCACCCATGCCCTCAGGCAGGATGGTGGTGGTGCCTCGATAGCCGCTGGAGGTGGACAGGCTGTCATCTCGGACACTGTCTCAAGACAAGTCAAGGATGGCAAACTCTCCACCTCAAGTGGCGGACTCGACGCTATGGTAAACCTTGCCAGTCTTCCTTCGGGAAGCTCTGCTGGCCATGTCCAAAGACAAGCCAGTTGTGGCTGTCCCCTCCCCAGCTGAGGTTCCTCCTAAAAAAGGAACATCGGCTTCGACGTTTGCGGAGTCGGCTCACATGACCAAGTAAGTGAATCCCAACGCCAACCCTTTAGGCTGTACGCCGAAACCCCCTCCCAAGGCGATAGGAACCTCTGAGAGAAACTATCGCACCAGAAGATCAGCTCTGCGTATCATCGATAGGCTGAAAGATGTTAAGCAGGAGGACTTGACAGAAGAGCAAATCAGCTCGAAAGCTTGGGCAGAATCTTTCCTGGAGATTCACCGAGAGAAAGCGAAAGCAGACCTCCAAAAGCGGAAGTGCTCGGAGGAAGAAGCAACGACCTCGGGGAAGAGAAAAAGGCCTTCTAACATCCAGATGGCTGCATATAAGGAGCCTAAAAAATCCTTTGACGATGCGGCGAGGGAATCGCTTGTCCGTACTGTGATCGATCGGAATGCCCTTGATGGTGGGATCACACAGCAAAATTGGGACCTGGTAACCAGAAAGCTGTGGGCGGTATATCGCGAGGTTCTCCGTGATAACGTAGGACCTCCACCCTGCTGCTCAGACGCGGGTTGGTTACGGGGTGTCAAAATGATTAAGTGCGCCGATGAGAGATCTGCGCAGCTTTACAAGGCCGCAATCAATAAGATTGGGGAGCCCTGGCCAGGTGCACGACTAGCTGTCGTGAAGAGGGAAGAGATTCCAAATCGCCCAAGATCCAGGGCATGGATCCCGGAATACAATGACGATCCGTCGGAGGTTCTGGGCTATATTCAGTTAGGCAATCCAGAGCTTCCAACTCACGATTGGAAGGTTGTAAAGCTGGAAGATCCGGTAGCCAAACGAAGAGTGGCGGTGATTGTCTTCAATGAGGAATCACTTGCACCCCTCTCCAATCTCAACTGGAGGATCAACTATGGCTTTCAAGCTTTGACCCTCCATGTGTATCGACAGGATATGTCGAAGAATGCTCCCTCCGCGGAAACAGTTGGGGCCGCCGTGGAGGAGACCGAATGCCCTATGGACTGCGAAGTCGCATCCAGCTGCGACACGGTGGGTGAGCTCTTCGAGCGAATCGCCGTCAACGATGGGTCGGACGACACCGGATCGCTGACTGATACACTTGGCGATGACGAAGAGGACGTTCCTCCATTACCCGAGGACGAAGACGCCAATTGTACGGCCATTGGGCGTCCGACTAGACAGATCGAAGATAATGGTGGGGATTCTACAGATTAATCTCCACCACAGCAAAGCGGCGTCAGCCGCACTACTCCTCCGTCTCGCTCAAAGAGAAGAGGAGATCGTGCTCATCCAAGAACCTTGGGTCATCAAAGATCGGGTTTGCGGCCTGAGCAGTAAAGATTATCAGCTGATCTACACAAGTGTTAGAGGTAAACCAAGGTCTTGCTTATTAGTAAAGAAAAATATTAATGTCTACTCTCTGATACAATTCAGCGATGCAGACACCACAGTAGCCGTCCTGGAAACCTGCGGAAGGAAAATTTGGCTTGCCTCGAGCTACATGGCACACGACAAGCCAGCACCGCCAGCACTAGTCAGGAAGACAGTAATTGGAGCGAACACCGCTAACGTCCCGCTAATCATTGGAGCAGATGCGAATGCCCATCATGATATTTGGGGCAGCTCAAACACAAACGATCGAGGTGAGTTACTTCTCGAATTTTTACTAAGCAATAATCTTAGAATATGCAATATTGGGGATACCCCCACTTTTGTAACTTCCCTACGAAGGGAGGTGCTCGACTTATCCTTTGCTAATAGACGAGGTGAGGAATTGGTGAGCAACTGGCATGTGTCCGGGGAAAACTCATTCTCCGATCACATGTACATTAGCTTTAAATTAAACATCTCGATTTGTGCGCCTAGAGCGTTCTTGAACCGCAGACGAACAAATTGGGAGGTGTTCAGGCCCTGTCTAATCAGATCTTTGCCTGAAACCTCTGGAAATCTCGCGAGCACCCAAATGCTAGACTCAGAAGTAGAAGGGCTCACGAAGGCTTTTCAAAGAGCTACAAAAGCAGCATGTCCCAAAATAAAAAGGAGAAAGCAACGACCACCATGGTGGTCGCATGAAATAATGAACCTAAGGAAGGAATGCAGGATGAAATTTAATCAAGCGAAAGCGTCTAATGTGTGGAACGAATATAAGGACTGCCAACGCAGATTCAAATATGCTGTCAGAGCTGCAAAACGCTCCTCCTGGGAGACTTTTTGCCAAACGATAGAAAGCAACTCGGAGGCAAATCGTTTACGCAAGATCCTTTCGAAAAACCCAAGCGCGCCTAGCTACCTGCTCAAAGGGAATGGTGAATGGACGAGCAGCAGCTCCGAAACGCTTGAGCTCCTCATGCAGACGCACTTTCCTGATTGTTCCGACACCAGAGGATCGAACAATTTACAGATCACTGCCCCAAACGGGGGAATCCATCTTACTACTATTTCTGATGGGGATATCAAGGAAGCTATTTGCAGCTTCTCGCCCTTCAAGTCACCCGGTCTCGATAGTATCCTACCCATCGATCTTCAGAAAACAATGGATATAGTTATTCCAAAACTAATGGCTATTTATAGAGCGGCCATCAGCCTCGCCTATATACCACAGAGATGGACGCAGGTAAAAGTTGTATTTATCCCCAAAGCGGGTAAATCTTCGCACACCAAACCCAATGAGTTCAGACCAATCAGCCTCTCGTCCTTCTTACTGAAGTCACTAGAGCGCATATTGGACACCCAAATTAGGAAAATAGTTGGTCCAAATCTCTCTACTGCCCAACATGCATACAACAAAGGAAAGGGTGTAGATACAGCTCTACACAGCCTTATCCTTGACATTGAGAAATCTCTGTACTACAAAGAGTATGCTCTATCTGTCTTCTTGGACATTGAGGGTGCTTTCAATAACATCAGTCCGGATGCAGTTATTTCACCGCTCCAGGAACTTGGACTTTGCAACACGTTGATAGCGTTTGTCAACAATCTCCTCCGGGATCGGGTTATAAACTCAGAGCTAGGGGATGCCGCCGTCAAAAAGTACGCGGCAAGGGGAACCCCCCAGGGAGGTGTACTCTCACCTCTACTTCGGAACATTGCCGTTGACAGTTTGCTGAAGGAAATAGAAAGAAACGGCGTCAGAGTGGTAGCCTACGCCGATGATATTGTTATTACGGCTACAGGTAAACATTTAGCAACCCTAACTTTTCTCATTCAAGGTATACTAAACAATCTCTCACGTTGGTGCAGAAATCGTGGTTTGGGAGTAAATTCCACAAAATCAGAACTTTTACTGTTCACAAGGAAACACATCTGTCCATCTCTCGGAAATGTCACTTTGAATGGTGCCACACTACAGAGAACTGATCAGGTTAAATACCAAGGTCTAATTCTGGATAGGAAACTAAAGTGTGGACCTAACATCGATGAAAGGGTCCGAAAAGCCACAACTGCCCTATACTCCTGCACCAGGG